GATGCATTAATTTCCCCAGACCATAAATTAAAAATTTGTTAGACACTTTTTCAGATTGCGGTTTTATAATAGGCTTAATTTTTATTCACTTGTTCCCGTGTTTTTCATCTGCCAGCATTAAGTTCTGTGAAGTGCCTGGCTGAGCCATATCTGGTTTGAAAACTAACCACGTATAAAACACAGCAAAACTCCTTGTCAGATCATCATTTCCTGACTCAACTCATCCCACAGCTAAAGGGACACTGCTGCAGGAACAAAAGGGTACAAGGGGCTGGCATGAGGTTTTTTGGTGTCAGCATCCACTAAGGCCATTTTATGCTGATTGTGGGAGCTTAACCTAGTTGGGCTGGATGCTTTTCTTCAATTTCATATCACACTGAAATGAAATAATAGTTAAAAAACCAGTTATTATTTTAATTGATTACCAAAGTGTTATTTCAGTCTAAATCTAGTTTGTGATTGCTTCTAGGGAAAAATGCCTATTACTTCCAGAGAAAAAGCAAAGATGACAAAGAACAATAAAATAGTTAATGATTTCACAATCAGGCAGGTGAGATTTTGTACATTGCCCCCATAAGGTTGCAATTTTCAATTACATACTGATATATTTAACAATGGTTAACTAAGTGGCTAACTAGAGGTCTAAAGGCACAGCATCTTGCAGAGACTTTCGTGTCCCATGCTAATTTGGCTCGGTCTGAGAATCAGACTGAAGACATTAATGTTTGGAAACACTTAAAAAAACTCACCTCTGGTAAACTGGGAATGGAATTCAGCTCCAAATAAAGGAACCTGCTTGTGGGTGTAGGTGTGAGTCTATCTGAGCTCTGTATGTCCAGGCTGTCTTCCCACCTTGCAGAGGTGGGTGGTTTGGTTGCAGGAAGGAGTTATCATGTGGAATACACAGGGTGCAGTGAGCTGCCAATGGGTCCAGTGGCTCTGACATAGGATCTTCAGGATCTGTGCCCTCTGCCATGTGGGGACTGGGGTTTATACAGCAGAGCTAGAAACGTCTGCTCACATATCTAAATCCTTCCACTAGCACAAAGTCAGCCTGGTTCAGCTGGCTGCCCACCAGAAGCAGGTTCAGCTGCCCATACACAAGTACCTAGTGCTATTCAAGGCACTTTCTAGCACCCAGAACACTGCATGAGGTTGGCAGATGTGACACAGGACGTCTAGGAAACCTCACTCTACCCCTGAGGTAGCAATGTGACGGTAGGTGAGACTTCACATGGTGCTGAATGTCTTTACTGCTTTGAAGCAGTAAAGGCAACTCCCAGAACTGGCTTTCCCTCCATTCACAGGCTATGATGAGAATACTGTCATGCTAGACTGGATTTTGGCATTGCAGCTCAAATTCAAGCTTCTGGCTACGCTTCTTGGTGTAAGGTGCTTCTTGATGCCAGCCAGGGCATCACAAGCAATTTGTTAGGAAATGGGGATGTTAATGACATGGTAATGATTAGCGTATTAATTAGCTGCTGTCTTGCCTAGGTTCAAAATACCAGGCCTTGCTAGGCTCTGATTCTGCTGTCCTGCATGCCAACGTAATGCCTGGACTTGAGAGGGGTCATTAGACTGGGCAATGAGGTTCAGTGGGGGATGTCACAGGACTGATCTCCCAGCACCCTTCTTCCTGGCAGCACCCAGCCCTTGAGCCAAGCCACCCTCCTCCTGCAGATGTCAGCCAGTGACACACAGCTTTATCTTGAACAATGGTCCTTCCAGAAGTATTTCAACAGCTGGAAGAGCTGACCATCTGCCCATGAAAACTCTCCTTCTGGAAGCAGTAAAGATGGACCAAAAGTAGTATGAGTGCTCTGCTCTCTTTAATGAGTTGCACCACTAATGCAGTGGTGAAAATGCTGTGCAGTGTGTGCCATGCAATGTAGTCCAGTGTGCTCGGAACTGCTCTCTCCGAGGCATGACACAAAAACTCAGGTCACCTTTGGCAGGAGATTAATTAAAAGAGCATGGTATTGAAAAAAAAGGAGAGGGGATAGTTAGCAGAAATACACCTTTTTGCAGGGAAGGCTAATGATTAGCTCACAAATTATTCAAAGCATGTGTATGTCAACTATGAACCAAAAAAGTAAGATGAAAGCACCAAGGAGAGAAATTGGCTGAGCAGAACTGATCAGCATGTGGGAGTAAGATGTGCTTACAAGCCTAGGAAATCTTTAACAAAGCAAAACCCAACACTACAGAAATTTAGTTAGCACAGTCTTCTGATGATTTCTGCCCTTTGCTAAGTGCCTAAAGACCAGTCACGGGATATTCACCTTACTTTAATATGGAAGACAAAGGTATTTTCAGACCCTCTCTTCACAAAGCAAAACCCAACACTACAGAAATTTAGTTAGCACAGTCTTCTGATGCTTTCTGCCCTTTGTAAAGTGCCTAAAGACCAATTGCGGGATATTCACTTCACCTTAATATAGAAATGTATTTTCAGACCCTGAAAATACATTTCTTCATAGAGTTGAAGCAGAAGGAGAGGGAAAGCACAATACTGTGCACAACATGGGAGTAGGGAGAGTAACCAGGGGGAGGTCCTGGGCAGGGATGCACAATGTAGGAACAGGATACTGGAGCATCACCAGTCAGCAGTAAGGCCACAAGGGAGCACTTACACAGCAGCCTCACGTGGGAGCAGAGGAAACTGAGAATCCATAATCACCCCAGACACAGCTCCAGAGGAGCAGAACTGGCTGTGTTGAAAGCCAGCCCAGTTATTGTGAGCCACAGTGACAAAGGCCATTTATTTTAGTGTATCATTAGTGTATCATTTATTTTAGTGTATCATTCTTTACATGACATGGGAGACTCCAGCCAAGATCTGGGGACTGGGCTGCCACAGTGTCAACCACATCATGAGCTCTATCTTGCCTTTCTTCATTGACTTTTAGTTTGTTTTTTGGGGTGGTAGCAGAATTACCAATGATTCCAATACTGAAAATAAATCCTGAATAATTCAGTCATCCTGTTTTTTATTTCTCATTCAACACACAAACACTCCTTTTTTCCAAAATTAGGGACTTTAGAAGACATGCATGCACAGTTGCTCAACTGTGGAGTCCAGACAGTTTATTTTATTCTAGGGGAAAAAGGGTAAGCTCAGTATATCAGATAGAGAAAATGACCTTCATACCAAATGCTGTAGGAATCAGAGCTCAACAGATTTGAGGTAAGTTTATAAACACACTTTCCCAACTGCTCCAGTCTGATGGCTGCACGCTGACCTCTGCTTTTCACTTGTTCTCATAGTGTTGAAGCTAATGGGTAATACAACACATCACACAGGATGCTATGAATCCAGGTTTCTGAATTCTCTCATGACACTGGGACACTGTCACTGTCAGATTTACTGAACCATAAAGAGTAGGGAGACAGGTGTCAGCCCAGGTACTTTTTGATGGAAAACAGTGCTGGAGCAATGCTGGGGAACACAAACACCTGGCTGTGCTGCTTTGTTTTAGTACAACCTGGCACACACTCAGTCTTCATCATGCCCACTTGGACCTCCATTTAAAGCCCCACTTTGGTTTTAATATTTTTCCTGTGTTTGAAATCCCTGTTTTTCCTTTGGTGTTTGAAGTAAGATGCAAGCCAGCACCAATGGCACCTGACCAGTCAAGGAAGTACAAGGCCACTGAAACACAGGCAGGACAGCCTGAAGTGCCTCCCTCAGGCTATGCTTCCTCACAACCTGGGGAGGGAGAGGCTTATCCTGCCCCCAGGATGCCTTGTCCTGCCACCAGCTCCAGTAAGCTCAGCAGCAAAAGTGAGATGCTCTTGGTAAGAACTGAATTGTGCTTAGCTGGGAATGATTGTTTCTCTGGTGGAGCTTGAAGGGAAAGAAGAGGGATTTATATCTGATATTGCTTTGGACTGATACAGTTAACCTCCAGAACTGGCTCAATGCTTCTTGCTCCTACTCACTATTTGTGCTGTGTGAGGAGCTGCATGGTAACTCTGTGCTTTCCCTCTTGTGACTGGGAAACAAACATTTATTGGAAGAGAATAACGAATGGTGAATCATTTCATTTCAGGCATGAATTCTTAGATGAATGATCATTCGTGCTAAAATTAGAAATGCTCACAAGGGCAAAGCAAATGTGCAGGAATTGTCCAAATAGTTTCCAATAAGAAATATAACGAATTGGAATAGCTAAACATTGCACTTTTATTGGTTAAAAATTTATATTAGGTAATATTTTTATGTCATGCAACATTACTATCCTAAAATGATTTAGGTACTAAGTGCTATATATTTCCCTCCTTCTTACAAAAATGATTTATGGTTTGTATAGCAACAGCAGTACTCTTCCAGGTATTAAAGTGTGGGACTCAGCCCATATGTGCTTTTAATTTGGAATTAATAAATAGTATTTATTGCATCTAAAATAGCAGAATTACATTGTTTTGAAATCATCAGCACATTATATCAGGCAGGACAGTCTGGAAGTTCCTGGAGGCAATTCATAGCTCGAGGCTGGCTCTGTTATGCATGCTCCCATTACTTTCAGTGGAGTGGCAGCTAAAGAATACCACACAGCATGTCCTAAGACCACATGAGGGTCATCACAGCATCAAAGTGGTTAAGTATTCATTTATAGCCTCCTTAGAATCTAAGTATTCCCAGACCAGACATATAACATTTTTAGCAGGATACTGTATTCCTCTCCACAGATTATTCTCTTTGCTTTTAAATACCTTAGCCTGCATTTTCAGACAGTATCAAATTATCCTGTGAAACTGTAAGGATGCGAAAACACATAAACTTTTTGGACACCCACAGAAACACACATTTACATATTTTTTCTTGTGTAAGTGGGATGATATTTGCAAATAAGATCCTAATCAGCATTGAGTGGGTCTGCTGTCTCCTTGTTGCAGATGGACCCAAGGCAGGTGTTGCTGCTGTGTCAGGTACCTCAGCCAACTGGCTGAAGACACCAGGAGTTTAGTCTTCAAATTGCATAAAAATATCTTACACATAGAGTGCTGAGAGTCTGGATTCTTGCAGAACAAGCACTTAGGTGGAACACCTTTGTAGGCTGCTGTGCAGAAGAGATAGGAGAGCTGGCTGTGGCTTTTATTAATCAGGATTTTTCCTCCTAGACATTTGACCCTTATGGAATACAGCATGTTCATCCAGAGGGTGTACAATTGCTGGGGGAAAATTCCTTGGCACCCACTGCCATTTAAAGAAAAAAGGCTGTGCTGGATTTGGAAATGTATATGTGTGTAGATCATCCTGCTGGAGCACCAAGGAACCAAAGCTGCAGCATGTGCAACCCAATTCCTCTTGGCAATGGGCCTGACAGATTTTTGTAGCTCGAGAAGACCATACATTCAGATATGATATTTTAGGAGTCAGTCTTTCCTCAGAGCTGTGCTGGCATTAACCTCTTGCCTACAGACGACTCCCCCAATCTCGTAGCTGAATTTAGACCAGTGGCTTGCTCACTCTGACATTCTTGTCTCTATATTAACACTAGGAACCTGCCTGCATAAAAATATGCCTGCTTTGTGTGACAGCCTACTTAATTAAAGTGTTTCACAAAAGATACCTTGCCAATGAAGATCGGGTCAAAGTGGATATTGGAGAAGCAGACATCTTTTCTTCAGCTGAACTTTTCAGCCTCTGCTATGATCTGATAGAGTTAGCTCTTCCTTAGAGCATGCCTATCTCTTTAAATCCCAAATTTCACAGATGAAATCCAGCAGAAGTTCTTTGGTGTCAGGTTCCAGGCACAAGTTATGAAGGCTTCTTTGCAAACTCTTGTGCAGCTTGACCAAACCCTTCGCTTGTGCGGTCCTGCCTGCAGTTACAGAGCTCTTCACTCCCATGGGCAAAATGTGGTAGAATTCCCAGGTTGTGTAGGGCTGGAAGGGATTCCTTCCTGACACACCACAGGTTCAGCTGTGCACTGAGCTCCTCTGCAGAGGAAACATTGCTGGCCTAGGCCAAATGGAAGTGGGGCACTAAAGTCTGTGGCTGAATGGGAGAAAAGGATGGTGAAAGAAATAGCAGTGATGCAAAAACTGTGGTTACTTTGGCAAAGGTATGTTTTGTCTGACACTGATGGTACCTTTTCTCTGGATGAGACACTATGTAAAGGATGGGATTCTGCCTAGATAAAACAGAAATATCCCAACTTCCATGTCAAGACTGCAAAAAGGAGGCTCTTTGAGTGCCTGCTCCACTGTGATGCCTCACTTTGGGAAAAACATCAAGGCCATATTCTGCTGGAAAACCCTCTTCTGGTCTTCTTGCATGGTCTCCCTAAATTACCACTTCACTTAATGTCTTCATCTGTCCATTTAATATTTGTTTGACTGGATACAGTGAAGAGCAGAGACAGGCAGAAGATAGATTGCAAAGACTGAACAAGACACCTCTTCTGGTGCCCAGTTTCCTCAGATGAGTCTGCTGAATCATTTGCTCAGGATTTTTTAAACCAACATAGACGTACCCAAAATAAATTAGACCTCATAAGCCCTTTTGCCCTTTGTATCTCTGCAAAGCTTTCACATGTTACTCATTTGATTTTTCTGCTTTCAGTTTCAGTGTAATTTATAATCATAAGGAATATACAAATGGGTTCTCAGTGGTCAGCAGCGTAATTAAAGGTTGGTGAGATCTGCACTTCACTTTGCTGTGCTACTGTGTGCACTTCCTGTTAAGAGGCAGAGCACACAACATCTCCTGTGTCATCTAAGGCTGAAGAGTGACCTTAAACTCAGAAAAATCCATCAGACTATGGCAGAGTGTAAAAATGGTATTTTTATAAAAGGGATGCCTAAAATTTTCATGAAAGATTTACTTCCAAATTGCTTCTCCACCTGGAAAAGTTGCTAGGGAGATAAACATCCTATAGTTTGGGATTTTGTTAATTACTTTTGAAGCTGGACAATATTCAGGCACCTCTTCTTGTTCCCCCAAGAAGAAATGTGAGTCACATGTCTTCTTGTTGAGTTTAATCTTGAGCACAGTGCAACTGCCACAGGATGTCAATGTTAAAAGTACTTCTATGAAATTGAAGAAGGAACTTCATCAAGGTCACAATAAACTCAGCAAGACTGGCTGAAGCTACTGGGGACAGAGAAGTGATGACAGGGGAGGCTGTGGAGGAGTGAGGATTATTTGACAGAGGAAATTACACCTGAATTACAGGCCTTTTGATTAAATCTCAGGAGTACTCAATGGGAGTTTTTGAATTATCTGATCATGAGAACTTAGCCTGTTTCAAACCATCAAATCTGAGTTTCGTATAATTTTATATCAAAACTATGAGAGTTTCTTCATCAGCACACAAAATCACTAATTGATTAGTTGCTTCACAGAAACGGAAAACATGTTTTGAGAAAAGATGGCATCATTTTTCATTTTCTGGGGTTCATACTTTTCCTTAAAACATTGAATACCTTGCAAATAATGTGATTTTTTCTCTTTTCTTCCATATAACAAAAAGGATTGCTACATAATTTATCTTTGCTTTTCAGTCCTGTTTCCTAGAGCATCCTTCCCAGATGGGTTGAAGAGCATGAAGTTTGGCCCAGCATCACTTCAAACCTTTCCTGAAGTGTCCGGTTTCATGGAATGTTCTGAACTCAACTTCATGATCAATTTTGTTTCTTCTTTTCCATTTACTGTATTACTTAGGTCTGACCAATGTTGTTTATGTTTACATTTCCACAGGGTTTAGTGTACAAAACATAGTGTCCCTAATGCATTGAAAGCCTGTTAGCTGTGTTTTCCCTTCTACCTGTCTATGCTGAAGGCATATAAACAAACACACATTGCACATGCATATACAAGGCCAAAATAATATCATCCTTAATTATGGCTGTAGTGAAGCAAACTTCTCAAAGCTGCCACTGTATTTTTTTTCCTAATCAAATATTAAACAATTTAATTTTGAAGAAGAGGGATCATATTTCAAACTTTGCCTTCTAGAACTGACTCAATAAAATTTTAATAAGCTGCAGGTTTTTTTAAGAGAACAGACTCCAAAGCTGGGTGTGAATTGCATTTGTGTTTTTGTTGGGTCTGTTTTTTCTACAAGTGCAGGTGTCTCCAGCATTCACTTTCTATTTTGCTTTTATCTGCATTTTGTGCTCATTATCAAAATACACCTTAGAATCTTCCCAATTTTCTTTAAAGCCCCATCCCTTGGGTGCACCTGACGAGCCCTCTTCACCCTCTAATTTAGCTGTTTAAATTCATGTTCAGCTTGAAATGCAAGTAAATAAATTCTGGGCACTACTCCTATTTGGCATTGGAAAAGACCCACAGGGCAAACTGGAAATCTCCCAGGTGCCACCAGCTGGGGTTTGCACAGGAGCAGCTCCAGCAAGCTGGAGGTGCCCTGGGAAGAGACGCCAGCAGTTTTCTTGGTGGCTGGGCCACCTCTGTCCATCAGCCACCGATGGATGCAAGGACAGCAGCAGGGGTGTTCCCAGAGCAGTTTGTGCCCAGCTCCCAGGGGCTCAGCCACAGCCGTGCAGCACAAGCAGGATCTCCCTGCAAGGCTCCCCTCTGCCCTGTGGACATCCCCACATCCTCTTCACAGCCCTTAATGATGAGTTGTGCAGCCAGGCTCACACATGGGCACACTTCTGAGCCCCAAATCTTGGCATTACAGGGAGGCCTGGGACAATACCTCTGCGTTTACTCTGCCTTGGAGTAACTGTGGATAATTTGCAAAGTTCCCCTGGAAGAGAAAGTCTTAAAAATTATCTGTTCAATGTAAGGAGTGTCTCAGAAAAACTTGAAATTATATCAAATTGAAGTATTCCTTCTGAAAAGCACACACACACACACACACATCTGCCTTTTAACTTTCTAATGAAATTTTATAAATTCTGGGCACTACTCCTATTTGGCATTGGAAAAGACCCACAGGGCAAACTGGAAATCTCCCAGGTGCCACCAGCTGGGGTTTGCACAGGAGCAGCTCCAGCAAGCTGGAGGTGCCCTGGGAAGAGACGCCAGCAGTTTTCTTGGTGGCTGGGCCACCTCTGTCCATCAGCCACCGATGGATGCAAGGACAGCAGCAGGGGTGTTCCCAGAGCAGTTTGTGCCCAGCTCCCAGGGGCTCAGCCACAGCCGTGCAGCACAAGCAGGATCTCCCTGCAAGGCTCCCCTCTGCCCTGTGGACATCCCCACATCCCCTTCACAGCCCTCAGTGATGAGTTGTGCAGCCAGGCTTACACATGGGCACACTTCTGAGCCCCAAATCTTGGCATTACAGGGAGCCCTGGGACAATACGTCTGCGTTTACTCTGCCTTGGAGTAACTGTGGATAATTTGCAAAGTTCCCCTGGAAGAGAAAGTCTTAAAAATTATCTGTTCAATGTAAGGAGTGTCTCAGAAAAACTTGAAATTATATCAAATTGAAGTATTCCTTCTGAAAAGCACACACACACACATATGCCTTTTAACTTTCTAATGAAATTTTTATATATTTAATAACTTAGAGATGGTTTATTAATGTGCAAGACTTAAAAAAATCATTATGAATGATTCCTGGTTAGTTCTGAGTGGAATAATTTATTTTATTTTCTATATTAAATGTTTAATGCATATTATAGCTGAATAATATTTTAAAGAAAAAATGTAAATAAGCCATTCTTATTTTGTTAGTCAAATTTTCACAGAATTTTCATGTTGTCTCTATGTATTGGAAAACACTATGCTATGTAAAGCAGGTTGTTTTATTCCATGTAAAACAGCAGCTGATTATAATATATTTTAAATAACTGAAGTCAGCAGTAAATTATTCAGATATTTAGACTTAGTTATTACATTATAACAGAATATTGAATTATGCAGTAGTAATTCTGATATCAATAAATAATATAGAAATAGCAATATGAGGTTTTACATTTGGCTGGAATATGAGAAGACACTACAACATGCAAATAGTTTGAACTTAAATTTCTTTTTTTAAAATTTAAATATATATTTTAATTTTAAAACCAAATGCTTTCATGGAATCTCTTTCAAGATGGGTATGATTTTGTGAATAAAACAATAAACAGTGTTTTTGTCA